TGTTGTTGACTGCTTCATACAGAAAAGGGTTTCTATGCTCACGTCTTTGAATCAAACACTGAGGTATTTGAAAACTTTCGAAAAACTCAATTTTCTTGAAAGTATTCGTTCACCAGACATCGATAGTTTTAGTTCTAGAAACGGCGATCCCTAACTATCGGTAACAATGACGAGCGCAATATCACAGCAAGCACTGCGCGTGGTACATATACTGTTCGTTAATTATAAGCGGGAAGCACTGCTTTTCTAGAAAAAAATGTAGCTGCATTTTGTCAGTGAGTACTTAGAAATCATTATGCGAGCGAATAATTTGTCGACTGACACACCCAGTCTTAGAAGATAATATCTAAGCATATTATCCTCTGTGCTAGTGTACATTCCTGCAGTGTACGTTGGAAGTAACGATAGCATCAGTGCAGGGCTCGGAAAGTAAAATACAAAAATTGCGCTTGGATGTCAGGAAAAAATAATTGTTTTATTCCGTGTGGTAGTTTTCGCTTTGCTGGGAATGCTGGTGTGCTATTGCTTGCAAGTTTAGAAGTGAATTTCCTTTAACTAGACTCCTATCGCTGTGTTCACTAGCCTATTAGTTCCTACCGTAGCCAACCGTCCTGACACTGGCACCAAACTGCCGCACGGCTTATCCCGAAGCTCCACCACCGCTTGTTTCTAGCCGTCTGCGCTTGATGCTCGACTGATCCGATGCGTTTAAAACGCCACCTACTTCATAAAATCAGCAATATCATCCTCTAAATCACTTAGCCCGTCCCTTTCAACCACCTCGGTCTCTTGGATTGTGGTTATGCGACCAACCTCCTCATCTTCATTGCGAGTTCGAATATCGTGTCACCAAATCTCATTTCTTGTGGGGTCTTTGAATAATCCAAAACATGGCGAATGGTCACTTGGAAAACCTGAAATCCTTGTAATGTCGAGAAGTGGTACCATCTTGGATTCGTCGAGGCTCGTGCCCTCGATCGTGGATAGTAACTGCTGCGAGTCGTGTATCGCGGGCTGGTCGACCCTGCTAAACATGTTATAGACCTTATTATGAATCTGATTCAATTCTTGGGCCATGACATGTCTAACCCCGTGTCCGGCACACGGCCGCAGCGCGTAAATCTCCACAGCCACATCGTGAATGATGTCTGGCTGGTACTGAATAGTCGTTTCGAGACCGTTGAGGTTCACGTCAAGCGACCCATGCCCCTGGTCTGGATCCCACCTGTAGCCTACCGCCAGTTCATAGTCCCAGACGCGCGACCCTCCTCGTGGCACGCGAGACGTACGAATCGCGCTACCCACAAAGGTTCCAACGCCGTCGACGGCCTCTTCCGTGGATACGGAGCGGGGTACGATGTCGCTGAGCTGCGGCTCGATTCATTGAGGAGCTTCGGACGCCCAGCGCCCACTAGTGACAAGCTTAGCCTTGATCCTCCCTCCCCGCGTCTCGCCGCCTTCTGCCTCACCATAAGAGAAACCAACGAGGTTGAACGTCCCGGGACGAAGGTAAAAATAGGTGCTCGACATGGGGCGTGCAGGGGTCTGACAAGAGAATTCTTGGAGGCTATTAGCTTCAAGTAAGAATGACCTAAGTTATCGAGAGCACTGCTTTCTCCTACTAAATATAAATATAGTAACACTTTGACATAAGGAAACTACGCCTTCGTCTGCAACCGGTCCAGATTTAGCTGTCTCCGTTGCCTCTACAACCTTCAATGCCCGCCGTTCAGGGCTGGCATCGACGCGGATTTGCTCTCTGGGATGGAGAGCTACATCTCTGTCAATGGGGTGCCTGTGGTCGAGAACACAAAGCTCATGACGAAGCTGCTACGAGTCGACGTCGGCTTCGACGGCATGATGGTGACGGACTACCACGAGATCAACCACCTCGCAGAATTCCACCGCACTACTCTCTCCACCGACGAGGCCACCAAGTTGTCTCTGGAGCGCGAATCAATCGATATGAGTATGGTAGCGTCCGACTTATCGTTCACCAACGGAACGAACAAGCTGATCGCGGAAGACCCGGCTATCATCGCCCGATTAAAAGAGTCTGTGCGACGTATTGGCAAGCTCAGCTTGAAACTTGGTCTGTAGGTATCGAAGAAGTTGTTGTCACTACTTTGGAACTCGCTCTGGAGTCGATCGTGCTGTTGCAGATCTGTGTGAGCACCCAGTGCGCTTCGGGTGACTACTGCGAGCCGCAGTGGATCTTCGGACATGGTCTCAGCTACACGAACTTCACCTACTCCGACATGGCCATCAGCACCACCAACGCCACCTCAAGCTCCGATTCTATCAACGTGTCTGTGACAGTGACCAATTCCGATACTGCGGCTGGAAAGGAGACCGTGATGCTGTTTCAGACGCAGCTGTACCGACTCATTTCGGCTCCCGAGGTCAAACAGTTGAAGGAATTCTCAAAGATCAGTCTGCATGCGGGTGTTTCACAGACGTTCGAGCTGACTGCGGCGGACTGGAGCGTCTACTACCCTCAGATCGGTCAGGATTTGAAGCTTGTGGCCGAGGACGCGGGTTATGTGGTTGCGATCAGGGTTTCCTAAAAATATATTGTAATAAGCAATAATTGCCATATTATGCCATACCATTATGTATTTCGAGCCGCACGACTCCGGTAGATTTAGTCCAGAGTAACATATTTTGTCATTTTGAAATCAAAAATTTACTTATCATAACCCTATTGTATTACTTAGTAACCAATAAGAAAGCGGCCGCTGGAGCTACTCGACAACCAACCGTTCATGCTGCTGCTCTGAGCTGAGGCCAGGCTCATTTGTAAATTCCGTGCTGGCATGGATAATCTTCTCTCCCCAACGCGATCACCAGTTTCTCGCTACACCAGAAAGCAGATCTGCGATGTATTTTTCAAGCCAATCCGTGACGAGAATGACGACTGTATGGGTTTCTATCGATGTCGCTGCGGCGTACAGCGGAAACAGGACGCCAAACGTGGCTACACGAACCTAATCAACCACATTTATAGTCAACATCCTGATTATGAAACTACTCTAGACAGTTTTCAAGGCGGCAACAATGGCACACTCTTGTCGTTCGTAGACAAAAAGAGCGCCAATATATTTGGATGGCTAGAGTGGATTGTTGATGCTAACTTGCCGCTCTCATTCTGCGAGAACAGCCTAACGCGACGCTACACGACCCTCAAGCCCATATGTGATGATACCTTGGTCCACTACATGGCAGCTGTTTGCCAGGAAGTGCTGCGCACGTTCAGCGAATTTCTCCCTGAAAGATTTGGTATCGTATTTGACGGGTGGTCTTTCAAAAGTGAACATTACGTGGGGGTCTTTGCCGCTTTTTGGCAATGATGGGTAAGCGGAGAGCTGTAATAATTGGCGATGGCGCCTCTACTAGACAAGGAAGACTGCAACCAACCGTCCCCCATCCCAATGCTAAAGCACAAGGTTGCGGTCCTGCAAGGACGTTTGTAAGAGACTATTAGAAGAGAGATAACAGATGGGCTCCCCCTTTCTACGCCGCGAGAAAACTGATTCGG